AAAGGGGGGATCGGCTAAATTTCATCGTGTTTAGCTCAAAATCCTCCCGCCCCCCCCCCCCCAGGTGATAAATAATGACCGGTCCCTTACCCTGCGAGCACGGGCCCTTCGCATGATCTTCCTAGACTTATCTACTGGAAGATCGAAGGGCCTCTGCTCGCAGGGTAGCATCAAATATCAGTATGAAAACAACGATGGTGTCAAATATGTGAAGCACGCGTCTTTCAAAGTCGCCTAGTACTTCAAATCGGGGCTCTGGCCTGTTATGTTACATAAAATGCGTAGGATGTATCTGCCAACAAAAACGAGCCACAAAACTTATGCTTCCTTAGTTAATTACTGAAAAGGTCGAAATGTTCATTTAAAAGAGAACTATCTTCCGAGGGATGTCAAATTTGGAGACAAGATGTCCGACTCTCAAAAAGCACACTGTCAATATTTATGTTTCATTTTTAAAGGTAAACACTTCGAATGCTCTAGAACCTTAAAAGCCTATTGATCGGATATTTATCGAACTTTTATTAACTTTCCATATATCTTCAAAATCGGAAAGATAAGTCCTGTAACAAATTAGCCTTAAAAAGCACCGCCCATAAATTGGAGGATGGTACGACAAGGCGTGATATTTTCCTTGCTACAATGAGAACACGAACAATTTGCCTCTGAAGTCAGGACCATTGATGCTTATCTTTTTCTATATCAGCATGATCACGTTCATGCTTAATTTTGGTCTTCCCATCTTGACGAGAACAAGCCTGCCATTTTCTCTCTCTTATTTCTTCTTCCGCCTAAAGACTGCTGTCGATCTCAGTAACTCTGACCTTAATTTTGTTAAATGGTGTGGTGTAGTCATGAGACAAGGAGATACTCACACTTTCATTGCTTTCTACATAATGTCCTTTATTAACTGGGAGTGTTGTCAGTCGGAATTAATCACATTGTGATGAACCGTGATCATCGGTTTTCAAAGTGTATCTATTCGGAGGGGGACATGGGGGTTTACGGTATTGCGGTATTGGGCTTTTTTTCATGCGGTATTTCGGTACTTTTAATTTTAACGTGCGGTATTGCGGTATCATGTAGCTCTGCGGTATGCGGTTTTTCATCATTTTGGCTGACGGTATTCGGTGAAATAAGATTGTTCACGGTATTACGGTACCGTTTATTTGCGCTTTCCTTTCGATACAATACGCAAAACAAAACACGGTAAGACATAAAGATCAATAAAAGTTAATATTTAGAAGTCTTGAGACATAACGGTAAATGATTACACCATTTGTGGGTCATTTTGTGACAGTTAATGGTCGATACTATACAATATGATTGTTATTGCATCCAATGATAATGAGTCATCTCAAGTTACCTTACCAGGCTTTTCGATCTGTGTACCTGTGCCGGTAATTCGAGGTCTTAAACGTTTTCTCACAACGGCTGAGGTCGCTGAGGTTGAAGACGGCGTGGTCATCATTGACTGTGTGGCAATCTTTTATGAAGAGGGCGAAGGAGGCGAACATTATCGCAACAAGAATAAGTTTAGATAAGTTCTATTTACAAGAATAAGTTTAGATAAGTTCTACTTACAGAAAACCGATACATACCGACCGATTACTAGACCAGTCTTCGTACAACCCGACCTCTCACAAGGCTACTACTATCCGGTCTCTGACGAGACGAGCGCAACTAGTTTGCGACTCACCTGACAGCCTACAAGACGAGACTGATTATCTTAACAACGTTTTAAGTAAGAACAATTACAACACGGACTTTGTTAGACGGAACACTCACAGTAACACTGATTTCCAACTCTCAGACCAACTCTGGCCCTGTCACGACAGCGACTATACCGTACATCAGAGGCACCTCTGAAACTATTGCACGTATATTACAACCTTAGAATATACGTGTTGCGCACAAACCGATAACCACTTTACGGTGACTGCTTACTAATGTCAAGGACAAAGATAAATCGGAGGACAGACAGGGAGCAGTATACAAGATCAAATGCTGCGACCGCCAGACTTCTTATATTGGTGAAACCGGCAGAAACCTAAGCACGCGACTGACCGAACACAAACGCGCGACGAGGAATGGTGACATCAACAATCACATTGCTGAGCACCATTTAAAGACGAAACATCAAATTGACTGGGACTCTGCGACATGTATAACGTATTCTACAGACTACTATCAACGTCTTACTTTAGAAAGCTGGTTTACTAACTTAGAACAAACGCCACTGAATCGTAGCCAACAGTTACCAGCGCCGTACAAACGACTTATTGACGAGATCAAGCAAAACTAACTACGAGAGAACAACTGGAGAACTGACAATTTGACTAACAATAGACGACTGTTTAACTGTGACAATAGACGGATCGAAACGCACCAATCACTGATTACGAGTCTTCATAGCCAATAACATCACGGCTTAACTGACAGACGACCAATAACATCGCGACATAATTTACCAATCAGATCAATAACCAGAGTATAATACCATCAACTGACGTGATACAACTCACTTTGACTCTGAAGATGACTACCGCACAGGTTGTCGAAACGTCAGTCACTGTCAACAACAACAGTCCTATTCAGGACTACGTTCACCCGGACGATCAAACTCAACCTTTTGAAATGACTCCTGGGTTCAAACCTTTCACAATAAGTTTAGATGTTGGGTTTCGAGAATTGAAAAACGCCTTGTAAAGTTAAAAGAGAAAATTTGGTAAGTTTGCCTCTTAACAGCGCGGCGTCATCCTCGGAGACCCGGGGGCAGATAAAGGGGGCGAGGGAAAGTCTAAACGGGCGGACAAATATATATGGAACGAAGAAAAGTAAAGAACGGCGAGAAGAGCCCCAGGGGACGAGGTCTTACCAGACCAGTTCCAAACGGTCGCCGCCGGTCTGGCTTCTGATTGGTACCAGAAAACTTGTGTTTTTCTGGCACCAATCAGAAGCCAGAACGGCGGCGACCGTTTGGAACTGGTCTGGTAAGACGTTGTCCCCAGGGGCTCTTCTTGCCGTTCTTTACTTTTCTTCGTTCCATATATATTTTTCCGCCCGTTTAGACTTTCCGTCGTCCCCACCATCTGCCCCTGGGTCTCCGAGGATGGCGCGGCGTGTGATCTGACCCCTGAGAGACTGACGTGCTAGACTAGACTCACTTTATATCAAAACACGCACTACACGTGCCTGGAAAGGGTTTTGGTTGGTTTGTTTTTCGCGCTTTCAAGAGTTATTTTTATTGGAGTTAATTAGCTGTAGGGGCGAAATACCAAAAGGCTGAACGAATGTAGTTTATTTTTCAGTGAAAATTTTCGGAGAATTGCGAACTACCAAAATGTTAAAAAAAAACATGGACATCTGGTGCATAAATGCCTGAGATAATTAAACGCGCTAGATGGAAGCAACCATAAGTCTGCGGAACCGATTATAAATGTGATTAAAATATGCGGTATCGGTATTTAGACGATTTTCGACGCGGTATTTCGGTATTTGCCATTTTTTCTTACGGTATTGCGGTATTGGGTACCCCCCAATGTCCCCCTCTATTCGGCTATCGGCTATCGGCTATGGCTATTGTTCGGCAAATAATCCGCGGTATTGATAGGAGGTTACTTAGTCATGAGTATCGTTAAATATTTGTTGACTCAGTAATCCGTTTGAAAAAAGACGAGATTTTTCGATAGCTGGTGACACATTGAAAACAAGTCTCGATGGTATCGCTAAGTATCCCAAGTGGTCCTTTTTGCCAATGCTAAGTGTATATTTTCGTCATTTATGAAAGGAATCGGTATTAATGTTAAACATCTGGGTCCGGTTTAAGTTTAACCCAGGATTAAGCCAGGGCAAGGTTTTCTTGTCTACGAACATGTAACTGGAGCTTTCAAAATACTGTTGAACCTTTACTCTGAGATACAGTTATGATAACACAAATTGTTACTCTAAGGAAGGTAGATACAAAAAGTGCAAAACGTATTTATTCCTGGACTAGCTCTAATCGGCGTGTCAGGAACACGGCCCTAGAGACTTTTTTCGCGTTTTGTACGTTATGGTGTTTTTTTATATACAGGTAGAAGCCTTAGTATGTTATCCATAGTATCTTACTTCTCCTTTTGAAATACTTTAAGCAAATCTTTTTACGCTTACTAAGTGTACGTTTCCACCCAAATTACAACTTTTCTTTCTATTTTATTTTAAACCAGGACTGTTGGCGAAGTCAAATTGCTTAACTCTCGTCTTTGAGCGGGAATTCTCAGGGTCGTAACAAGGTATATGGGATCAGGTATCAACAGCAAAAAAATGGGTTGGGATCAGGACTCACCGCGCCGGGATCTGGGATCACAAGGGGATCAGGGATCCGGTTTTCCGACATAACAACAAAGACCACAAAATTCTGAAATGCGCCTTAACTGGAGGAACCTCAGCCAACATTTTTCAATTCAGTTGTATTTTTGCTGTAACATTTCGATCCGGTACTAAACTGTACTAACGCAATCCGATCCGCTGGACTAGCTTGTCTGCAAAACGTGTGGATACGAATACTTTCCTTGAATTTAAAGATATTTATCTTACGTTGCCTTTTTTAGCACATTACTTACTCTCAGCGTGTTGACCTGTTAACTCAGTTTGTTGGAGCTAAGATGACTGAGCTAAAGAATTGGTCAAAGTCTTTGCTTGCCGAATACGGATTCTGGAAAAAATTTACAAAATGAACATTGCCCTTTACCAGAGTAATTAATTTCCCTCTTTCTAAACCTATATCGTGTGATGAAGCCAGGCCGTGACCCTAAGCAAATATTTATCATTAAGATGTCTTAAGAAGTGCAGTTCTTTTAATTAACAAAATCCTCTTATCATAGCACTTTCTTTTTGCACTTGGTACTTGACACTTTTTACTGTTTTACTGCACGTTTTACTGTCGAGCCTCAAGAGACCATATATGGCAGCCTTTATACCAAAATTCCTTTCAGTAATAGATCCCAAAAATATCGTTCAATCAAAATTCACTTTCAAGGCACTAACTGCAAATTACTTTCAAATGTAAAGTAGCTAGTGTCATGAAAGGGATAGCAAAAATATGAAGCTTGCGGCTCTGATTAAATATTCTGCTAAGGAGAAGCTCTGTGATAAAAGCCTACAAGGCTATAACAGGCCGGATCGTCCAAAATCCAGGAAACACAATCCCTATAGTGTGGAAATAAACTACTGCAAATATTGAAGCCATGATAGATTCTTTAAATTTCCTGTCGCTACACTTTTTGCAAGTTATATTAGCATTTGGCAAACTGTTGTTGTTCATACGCTAGCAACAGGGATTCTCTAATCATCCTGGTCTTGTGGTATTCTGTAGGAACTAGTCGTTGGTCAAGCCAATCTTTGCTCAAAGAGATCTCAGGAGCGTAGCATCCATATACGAACATAATTTACTGAAAATGTCCTGTAAAAAAACGCTGGAAATGGCATTTCTGACACCCTAAATTTAAAATTTTTCTGGTAGTATGCCACCAGCCCCCCTAGGTTGGGCCGCCTTCATCGCTACAAGTTTTCTCCCTGCGGCGTACACCTTCAGGCTACCTACACCAGTATGAAACGTGTATAAAAATAGTCAGATGGTGATGTATGACTTGTGGCACACCTGAACTTAGTTGGTCAACCGGTGCTATCTAGGCGACGACTGAGACAGAGATACATGTACAGCTAGAGCAAACGCCTTTTACCAGACTAAGTTGATCTTTTCTTTCGCTTGTGTTGTTAAAAGAAGGGCGTAAATGGTACGAACAGAGTATTAAACTATTAAAGTTCATAACAAGATATATTGTAATCAGAGCTCTTAAGTGGAACGCCGATTATGATAGAAATTATGATAAGTCGAAAGAACAGACTGGAGCCAACCTTAATTCTCCAGTCAGTAAATGATGTGACTAATTGTAAAAGAAATAAAACAGAGAAACACTTTTTTTCAGTTTTTATAAAGTATACGCAGTTAACGTTAATCCAACCCAGATTGAATACAGAGACAAAAAAAATTCACGGGATCAAGGATCAAGTTTTGCAACAATTTTGGGATCAGGGATCAAAATTTTAGGCTTAAATGTGGGATCAGTCGGCAAAAAATATACCTTGTTACGACCCTGCTCTCCCTCAGAGCTTACAGGCGGTGCGCCCAAGATTCTGAGGTGATGGTAGTCTCTCTTTTGAAATGTCGGTCATTATCCAAATTATCATTGTAGGTCATCTTTGTACGGTCATTTGTTTTGAAATAGGCCAAATTATGGGGCTACCCTCTCCTTCAGAGCTTACAGGCGGCGCGCCCAAGTTTCTGAGGTGATGGTAGTCTCTCTTTTGAAATTATAATTGTAAGTAATTTTTGTAGTGTCATTTGTTTTTGAAATAGGCCAAATTATGGGGCTTCCCTCTCCCTCAGAGCTTACAGGTGGCCACCCAAGATTCTGAGGTAAAGGTTGTCTCTCTTTTAAACTGTCAGTCGTCAGCAATAGTATTATTGAATTTTCATTTTCCAGAGTTCATAGTGGCACCTTCTTTATAGTTTTACGTGATTTGTGGCAAAGACAAGACCAGGCTAACAAATTTATTCTACTTTATGCGTGGTGCGACAATCACCGTGGCTGAATGGCCTCCAAAGTTCCTTTATAATTTGGACGCTTCTCAGGAGTTCCTTCACTGGTTATAATCCAGAATTGAGGATTCTCAGCAGCTTGAAGCTCTTGCATTTTCATCAGTTGTTCCTTGGACGGCGACCTTTTCTTGTCCCAGGTACAATATCGATTCTCGACTCTCGATTACCGTATCTTGCTCGTGCAAGGCCTCGGCATAGGACCGGTACAAAGACCATTGCAGGAAAACTGTTTGGTAGAAGAAGAGTAAAATGGTGGCTTTCGGTGCGTTACCTGTCTGATGCTTGGTATATCACTGCCAAACTGCGCACCAGAATGCGCGAAAAACCCCTCTGGTACTTGAGAAAATACGATTTTTAATATCCACCTAAAAACCTGAGCGGTGTGATTTAGTAACTAATTCATGGTGTTCAGCTTCCGGTTTATTCAGCTTATTGCCAGTTGTAGGCAAAGTTCACGCGCACATTATCGCACTCTAACTGGGCCAATTGTGAGGAGACTCATGTGTCAGTCATTGACTAAAAACCCCCGCGCGTTAAGCCTTTGTGCGACGGACGTCCCTTAGAAATATAAATTGCCCACGCTGATCGCCAATTCTACTTGCAAAGTGTTGCTGACTGAGTTGTGTAATGTATTCTAGAGAGTAAATTTAGAACTAACCTCG